TATCAAAAAAATTTCTGGAAGCAATATTTAGGTGTAACACTAGACCGACACTTAAGGTGGGATTTACAAAATGTCACATTTAACTAAAAAGCATTTTAGACTTTTAACAGAATTTTTAAAAATCCCTGTCATGAAAATTATTTATTTTGGGTTAATACAGTCCCAAATATTGTATGGAATTATTGGTTGGGGAGGTGTTAGTAATACTTATCTTAATATTGTTCAAATAAATTCTTAAAAATTATACGAGTACTAGGTAAAGACCTAACTTATTCTAGCAATAACTTATATAAATAATTGCAATATTTGATATCAGACAACTATACTACTACAGATGCTTTTAAATATTCATAAACAAAAAAATTACAGTAGCGCTTTTAGATGACCCTTATAACACACGATGCAAATGTAACACTGTTAAAGCTCCAAGATGTTTAAAATCTATTGGACAGAGACACTGCAACTATCTGGGACCGAAAGTTCTAAATTTGGTACTTGAAGAAATTAAAAATATTCATAAATTCAAGCTATTTAAACATAAAACAGAAAGTGGATATTGATTAGAGCATATTTATTGTAGTTAGTTTCTACATGGCTCAATGTAATATAATCATAGTTACAAAATGTCCATGTCAAGTAATTTTTGAAAGAAAAATAAAAAGGTAGAAAACCGTCACACAGTTTCTTTCATATAATATTTTTATACAATAATAAACACACACTAAGTTGAAACACATTCAACAACATTGTTGGTCCTTTAACGAGTCGGATATATACACAGAAGAAGTCTACCATTGTGTGACATATAAAAATTCAATAATATCAGCAAGTTACCCAAGCAGGTATCAAACCTCAGAATAGTAAGTGGCTGTAATTTAGTAGTTATTTCTTCATCATGGCGGACAAAAAGGGTTCAAAGCAAAAAGATGCTTTAATGTTTAAGAGAAATGGGGTATTGTCAAAGGTTTGATCGTTGTAAGGCATGGTTAGATGAAAACACACATCCCAAACTACTTTAGTTAAAAAGCAGAAGAGCTACATTGGAAAAGCTAGTCACAAAATTTGATGAGATTCAAGCAAAACTAGAATTAGTTACTATGGGCGTAGATGAAGAACAAAGAACAATCTTTGAAGATACTTATTTTGATTCAGTAGCACAACTGGATGAGATTATAGAAAAATCGTCAGGTAAACAATCCAGTCTTCCAGAAATCAAATTGCCACCAATCAGTATTCCTATATTCGATGGTAACCTTCACAAATAGGACAATGTTTTTGACTTGTTTTAATCTGTCATTGATAATAATGCCTTTTTAACACAATACAAAAGTTTCAATATTTAAAATCATCCCTATAAGGTGATGCTTTAGAAATAATTTCTAATTTAAGTAATTCGGAAACAAACTACAAAGTAGCTTTAGATCTTTTGTACAATCGTTATCAAAATAAAAATCGAATCATCCTAAATCATATCACATCACTTCTTGAATTACAGCCGGTTCAAAAAGAATGCCATGCTCAATTGAGACAATCTTTAGATACACTTAACAGCATTAAGTTTGTCTGAAAAGTCAATTTTACATTTTTTAGTTTCTCTCTTATCCGCAAAGTTAGACAAACCTACGTTAAGACACTGGGAAGCTAAAGTATTTGAGAATCAGAAACTACCTAAATTTGATTTCTTTTGTAGTTATCTAGGACAAAGATATAATTCTTTGGTGTCTTATAAAAAAACTGTGATAATTGGTCACGGGCAATCTTCTTAGTCTCATGTATATTCACGGCCATATATAAAAAGTCATTTTGATAATACACAAAATTCACTAATACATAAAACTTATCTCAAACAAACTCAGTCAAGTTCATTTGCAGTGACACATTCAAATTCACAATCAAAGTATAAAAATTGTGTTTTCTGTGACAAATCACACAAATTCTTTGCATGTGATAGATTTTTGAGCATGTCTGTGAACGAAAGATTTAACGAAGTAAAAAAACTAAAACTCTGTTTAAATTGTCTCTCAATTGGTCACACAACATACCAATGCAAATATGGTCCATGCAAGAGATGCCATAAAAAAAACAATAGTTTACTACATTTTGACAATTCTGCAGATCAAATTAATAATACACATATAAGTTCAAACTATATTTTATATTAGGAAGCCAATCAAACAGATGCACCTGAAATTCATATTCTGAACCTGAACATTCAAGGTTGCCAATTCCAGATAAAAATATGATAAACACATCTCACGTCTTGTGTTCACAACCGCAGTACAAGGAATGTTTTATTGGATACGGCTCTAGTAAACGTTTTCCGTAAAAATGGTGAAACACCTAAATGTAGGGTTTTGCTAGATTCAGGGTCACAGCGTAATTTTGTCACACAAGAAATATGTAAGCTAATAAATTTAGAATTTAAATTACAGAATTTGACAATTAGGGGGATAAATAAGGCAGTCACTTATTCTTCCAAATTGGTCAAAATTACAATAGGTTCATGAGGAAATTCATTTAAGACAACTCTTAATTTTATGGTTCTGCCAACAATTACAGAATCATTGCCATTAGTTAAAATAAATAGACTTAATTTGAGAATCCCTCAGAATTTAAATTTAGCAGATCCTGAATTTTATAACTCACAAAAAATTGATATGTTGATTGGAGCTGAACTTTATTTTGATTTACTATCAAACGGTCATATTAAATTACAAAAAAATGGATTAATCATACAAAACACAAAGTTAGGGTGGGCAATAGCAGGTAGAGTTAACTCGAGCCAATCCCCTTTAGAATCACTGTGCAATTTAATTACTAAAGAAAAACTAAATAATAATTTAAAATGGTTTTGGGAAATAGAAGAGATACAGTCAAACGATTGCATCTCCAAAGAGGAAAATGATTGTGAATTACATTTTCAGCACAATTTTGTTCATGATGATTTGGAAGATTTGTGGTGAGGCTTCATTTTAAAGACAATGTTTAATATTTGTCGCGTTCAAAAGAATTACCTTTAGAAAGATTTTATAGTTTAGAAAAAAAGTTTAAAAGTTACCCAGAATTTAAGTTAGAATATTCTTATGTTTTAAAAGAATAATTGAGTTAGGTCACATGTCTTTATTAAATCAAGATGATAATCAAGGTTATTGTATTCCACATCATGTTGTTTGCAGAACTGAAAGCCTTACCACAAAACTTAGAGTAGTCTTTGACGCTTCTGCTCAGACATTATCTGGAATTTCGTTAAATGATACTCTAATAAGAGGTCCCACAATTCAAAGGGAGCTTTTTGAAATACTTACAAATTTTAGATTTCACAATGTAGTACTTACTGCAGATATTGCCAAAATGTATAGGCAAGTGAATGTTCATGAACAAGACAGAAAATATCAGAAAATTCTGTAGCGAAGTGATAGTAGCCAGAAAATTCAAACTTATGCTTTAAACACTGTTACTTATGGAACCACTTCGGTTCCGTTCCTGGCAGTTAGTTGTTAAAAACAACTTTCATTAGAAAATAAAATAAAATTTCCTTTAGCCGCCGAGGTTATCTCAAATGATTTTTATGTTGATGATCTCCTAACTGGAACACATAATGAACAAGACGCAATAATTCTTTACAAATAAATCATGCATAATTTAAATAAAGGGTGTTTCGAGCTGCTGCGAAAATGGCGCTCCAGTCATCCAAGTATTTTATCTCACATAAACGTTAATATTGAAAATTACATCATGCCGTAAGATAAACTTGAGAGTTCTAAAATTCTAGGAATGATTTGGAGTTCTAAGGAAGGCATTTTAAAATTTTACATAAATTTAGACTGTAAAACAGATTACACAAATTAAAACATACTTTTAATCATAGCGCAAATTTTTGATTCTTTAGGACTTATAGGGCCGATAGTTACACTCGCTAAGTTTGTTTTACAAAAATTATGGTCTTTAAAAATAGATTGGGATGAAAATCTTCCTAAAGAGGTATATTCTACATAGCTGTTGTTGTTTGTTTTACAACTAAAGCAGTTCATATGGAACTAGTTTCAAGTTTAACTTCAGAAGCGTTTTTGTCTTTATTAAAAAAATTTATATCCAGACGTGGAAAATACACAGATATCTTTTTAGATAATGCAGCGAATTTTGTTAAGACAAATAAAATAATAAAAGAATTAGCCATCCTCTCTTTAGAAGAACATTGGAGTACAATTTATGATTATCTAGCAAATAACAGAGTTAACTGGTATTTTATTTCACCTGGGTCCCCAACCTTTACGAGAAACCACCGTAAATTCACTAAAACATCACTTTAGGCGAATTACAGGCAATGGTGTATTCACCTAGTTCAAACAGAAGGCATTTTAAATTCCAGGCCAACAACCCCATTATTAGAAAACTTCAAAGATTTTCAAGCCCTTACTTCTGCACACTTTTTAATTGAAGAGGCTCTAACAACTACCCCTGAGCCAAATTATACCAACGTCCCAATCAATCTGTTATACAGAATATTTATCAACTCTGCAGCAGCGAACTAAGTGGACAACAGAAACATCATACTTCCGAGTTAACCAACTTGTTCTTCTGAAAGAAGAAAATCTTCCTCTGCTCCAGTGGAAAATGGGAAGAATAATTGAAGTTTATCCTGGGACAGACAAAACAGTGCGCGTAGCTTTGGTAAAAACCGCAGACAGTGTACTTAAACGCACAGTAAATAAATTGTGTCTATTGCCTGTAGAAAACTAATTCTTTTATGTTGTCATTTTTATAATATGTTTAGTTATGTACGAGTATTTTACTTATATTAGGTATATTATAAAACGATAATGAGTTTTTCAAGGGGGGCAGTATGTTTAGGATTAGCATATTTATTGTAGTTAATGTCTTCAAGGCTCAATGTAATATAATCATAGCTACAAAATGTCCATGCCAAGTAATTTTTGAAAGAAAAATAAAATGGTAGAAAGCCGTCAGACAGTTTCTTTCATACAATATTTTTATACAATAATAAAGACACATTAAGTCGAAATACATTTAACAACAGATATAAAATTGTGATATTTGGTAAGATTTAACTACATTGTTAAAAGAACTTAGAATAAAATAAATTTATAATACTAACATTCACCCAAAATTGACTTTACTCGAAAGCAAGTATTTACCGATTTAAAATTTTATTAGTTTTTATTATAAAAAAAGTTTTTTACTTTAATTAATAGTGTGTAATGTTTTGCTCTTTTAAATTTTAAATTTTAGATTTTATATTGTAAGAAATGGATATATTACATACAAGCTGTATTTGATACAGCTTCAGTGATTTCATTTTTTATTTATAAATTATTTGTATTTATTATACCTATTTATATTACATGTATATTATTTTCGTAAATTTATAATTATTTATTACATAAATAATTATCTATTCTATTTTAAAGATATTAAAGTAAAGGAAAGTATAGTATTCATATTTTGCGTGAACCGTTGAGCAAAAATATCAGCTCTATTGTTTTTTCTTTATATTATGTCACAAACACAAGGATCTCTAATGGCTGCTTATGATAAGCCACTTTTAAAATAAAAATATATACTACCTACTTGAGTTTCCAACAATTCATGCCACTGCAATTTAAAAAGTATCTATAAATATCAACAACGCAAATAAGTTGTCAACGCATCGTGGTGTAAATACTCTTCTCTATCCAAGCAGATTCTACAAGTTTGAATAAATTTACCTGTAGTTACATGAGGAATATGATATCTTCCAAAGCAGGGACAAAAATTGGAAAAGCGTTTCGCAGTTCTCTCACTTTATACCCGAGAATTGTCAGTTTTGCCTGGGAGCTAACCGAAGTAAACGCGATACATTGGCTTAGAAAATTATTTTATATATGCTTTTAACAATTTTGGGTATTATTTCTAGTCCATAAATAGGTATATGCATCTGTACAGTTGCGCCGATAACAATTTAAAATTACGTTATCCGCCTACCAAAAGCATTTCCAACTTTTGTCCTTGCTCTAATTCTTATTTATTAGGCACCGCTACTGACGATGTTAAAATTTTAATACCAATTTACTATTTTATTTTTTCAGAATGAATACATTCCACATGCTGTATTTTGCTGTATTTTTTGTTTTTGTGTTACACCAAGAAATATTTTGTTATCCATCAGATTTGTCACAAGAAAACAATATTATAAAGCCGCTAGGTGGAATTGGAGATGCCATAACAGACACTATTAAAAATTTCTTTAAGGCAAAAGTAAGTTAACCAATTTATTAAACTCACAAATACAATATTTTGCTTCTGTGTGCCGTGATGTTTAAAAGTAATAATTTTAGACACCAATGGATGACTTTCCTGATTCAGGAAGAAAGCAAGCAGTTTTAGAACTTCAAACAAAGGAATCCCTTCCAATACAATTGGACTACAAATACGCTGGTCTACAAGGATTAGTGGCTGGTATATTTAATCCAAAACCTGTCGTAGATGTAACTGAAGAACATGAAAAATATGGAAATGATGGAGGTGCTGGTAGAAAAGTAGGAACTGCTGTAGTTGGGGGATTTGAAGGCTTTTCTAATGGATTAAATGCTGCTGCAGAGGTAAAATTATTATTTGTTTTTACATAATTTAATATACTTTTTTCCTCTTCATATATTGTGTTATTTTTCGTATTTTTTTAAATGCGTGCTCTACAAAATCACAAACGCAGTTGATGAAATAATAGTAATAATATTCTTGTATTTATGATGAGAAGCGAATTGAATTAAAATAGATTTTAAATGAAACAAAATACCTTAGAATGTAAGAGAGCAAACAAGCATGCTTGTAGCCACTTTTACTATTTCTTTTTCAACTGAAGGTGAGTAGTCAATGTTACGAAGAACTGCGATGGGACAAGACGGGGCTGATGAGTTAAATTAATAACCACCTCATCCTCAGCATGATCTCGAACTCGCTAGTTCCCCGACAGCACATAGAAAAGCCATACAGCGTCCTCATTCCAGAGAGAGACGCATGGAGCAGAGGGGAAAAGCCCTCTGCTAGGCAGACTATGCGCTGCACACGGACGGCTTCAAAACTGAAAAAGGAATAGGAGCGGGAGTTTCCGGCCAGAGGCCTAGAGTTGACATATCAATAAACCTAGGATCTCTGGCCACGACAGAACTGATTGCTATAGAATTGGGAGCGAGAGAGTTGATCAATTTTCTCACCGCAAACAAAACTATAAAGATCTTCTCAGATAGCTAAGCAGCTCTTAAGGCCCTGAGCTCCAATCGAGTTGACTCGAAGCTGATTTGGAACTGTATAAATATCCTAGAATGCCTCGGTGCCTGGAACAAAGTTACTTTGATTTTGGTTCCGGGACAGAGTGGTGTGGAGGGCAACGAAAAAGCCGACGCACTTGCTAAAAGAGGAACCGAATCTGTGTTCACAGGACCTGAACCATTCCTGAGCATTGCAAAAAGCACTGCCTAAGGAATTATCTCAAAATGGACGGAGGGTGCAACACTTACGAACTGGAGAGATACCCCAGGGCTAACCCATTCGAAGGCATTTAAAACCAATTCTTTTATGAACGCCTCTGCTCAGATCCGAGAATGAAGTAGGAAAGATCTACACATTTTCACAGGACTGATGACAGGACACTGTCGTCTGGGCAACCACATGAGAAGGATAGGTCTGCAACAAATATCGGACTGTCGATTCTGCAGCGGGGAGGAAGAGTCTGCAGATCACATTTTATGTACCTGCTCCGCTCTGGAAAGAACCAGGTTCCAGATCTTCGGATTTACCCGACTGGAGCCTACCGACTTTAAAGGAGTCTCGCCCAATTCAACCATGACCTTTATCAAAAGATGTGGCTTGTACGGTGAACTATAAGTTAGTCATGAGCCACAATAAACCCATCTAGGTCGCAGTGGAAGGCGATGAGATCATCTCACTCATTTTCAACCTAACCTAACCTAACCTTACACAAAGAAAAAGAAGAAAATGGAAAAAAACGGAGAAGAAAAACGTAAAAAAAAGAAAGACAAAATGAATAGTAAGGGCCGAGTAGAAGGAGATTTAGAATAATTCAGAGGTCAAAATATCCTCGACTAAAATTTCAAGAGGCAAAAATAACAGACTTTAATTATTATGAGTATTATAGAAAGAAAGGCAGCCAAAAGTTTTAAGATCTGCCGTGCTGGCCATAAGACGAAATGTTTAGAGTATGATGAATTTAATTTAATGTCTAAATTCTAGTACTTTTCGAAATAAATACCTTGTATTTGAAAATTCAAGAAGAATATATTCTATAAAATGAAATAAATACTCAAATGTAATTAATTGAAAAATAAAGTAGGAAAATTAGAAAAACTCAATGAAGCTATCATATTCATCGAACGACCTTTTTTTTCCGGAAAGCAACACCTCCTTTGCCGAGATACCCACTTGTATAACTAGATATCCATAAACATCTATGTAGATGTCTTAGCATTTATTAGAAATTGAAAGTGAAAATGACTATCACTTGCTGATCAGTCCTAATAAGGACGAAACCGGTACAAGATTGACTAAGTGCTAGAGTGTTGAAAATATTTTTTTATCGTTTTTTTAACCAAAGGAGTAGTTGTTTTCTGGAGAGAAATTGCCTATCGACATTTCTCTTATATGGTCTTAGATTTTGTAATTTTTATTCTTTAATTTTGACATTATATTATGTGGTGTATGATTGGTTTTAGTGTTAATATAATATGCATGTAGACATTTTCAATATCAATTTGTAAAATATTATTTGACCTTTTAATTATTTAGCTTTTTCTCATTTTTTTCAGTTTCCATTTGTTGCAGCTAAAGAATTTGGAAAGAAAATAACTACATCTTTAAATATCGTTGGAGGAAAACTTGTTGGACTTTCTTAGATAATAAGTTAATTTATAATAAAACTTTGGAAATAAAATTATAGATATTTAATGACGACCAAACTACTACAGGCGTTTCTTGACATCTTTTAAGAAGGACAAGATCCAACTGTTTTTTTAAAGAGTCAAAGGCACTAAAAAAAAAAAATGAAAAACATACCTTAACTACATATAGAAACAAAACTAAAAAATAATAACTAACCATGTCACTCATCAAATTTTGCACATATAACATTTAGACAAACTCTCATGCACACAGAAAATACTCATGTTTATAGTAGTAGAACACAAAACAAGTAAAAAACGTGACCTTGTAGGTTTACCAGTTTTTTTACCATACTCACTCACCCATACACGAAAAGAAGTATATAAAAAAAAAGTAAAATTTCAATACCTACAAAATCACCTCTCGTCAGTATAGTTAATGGATTCGAACAATGCCTTTTGCCACCTCACTTTTACATTCTTCCTCTTAAGAGTCATCTAATATCGAAAAACATTCCATTTTGGGACGTGGGGTGTGTCTTTTAGTGTGCTGGCCAAAAGTTTAACATCTTCTTATAAGTTGTTGAATGCTTCTATTGTTACAAATTGAGCTAAAATGAAAAGGTTACATTTTTATGTTTAAAACTGGAAAACAAAATGATTAAAACTACATATCTGTGACATTTGGGAGTAATATGTTAACTTTAAAAAACATATTTTAATTAATTCCATTTTTTATGACTTTTCATTTAATCTATTTTAATTCCAGCACTGCTAGTAAATCTATTATAGTTTGATAAAATAATGATAAAATAAAATAATAAAGTCCACTTTATTAAATTTTTCCTTGGTATATATAATCGTATTAAAATATTATATCATGTGAATATTATGTCTCCCGAAAGTCGCAGATATTATGAACATAAAATTTACTCAATGGTGTGATTTCGCCACAAACGTCTACCGAAACTAGTAGGTAATTAAGAGCAACCCAGTCCTTTCTGACGTCACACGGCACGAATCTCACGACCTCCCCTTAAAGTATTTGGAACCTTGTTCGCTACATAAATTTGGCAATGTTGTGTGCTAAAGGATAATCATATTGGGTAGGGTCCAATTACAATTCAGGTATAATTCGTTGGCTATCGCCGCCTACTGGGGGTTAGTGGCTTGTTAATACACGAATGTAGGAATACTATTTTTAAACCAAACAACTCAAATATTTTTTATTTATTGATAGTTATAGATGATATACAGGGTGTCCCGAAATTAGACGGTCATATTTTAACAGCGTAATCTACATCCTAAAATAGTAGTAAAAGTTCATATAAATATAGGTCCGAAGACTTTTCTTTTCCGAGATACAGGGTGTTAAAGGTGAAGTCCTGATACCACACTTTTGTAAATATTTTCTAAACGTTTAAAGATAATTAGGTAAAATTTGTTACCAATACTTACCTTTTTACGCTTCATTTATTGGACTAAACCCCAGTTATTGATCATCTTCTTAGGTGGGTAAATTAGGGGGAGCTTAGGGTAAAATTGCCTGTGTGTCTATATCCACCATAACTCATGAACCGATACACAAAAAACACTAAATTTTAAACTTAAGTTTTATTTCGGCCTGAGGTGAAATGATTAGATTTTGGACAAAGTCGGAACATCTGGGGGGGTACTTTATGGGAGGCCGTTTTTATATTTTATTGAATATATCTGTTATTTATGTTTGGAGAAGAAAATTATTCAAATAAAAGTTACTTCTAATATTATTATCTATAATTTTTGTTTTATGTCAAAATTTCCTGAAATGGTCCGTATTCGAGAAATTTGACAAAATGTGCAAAATTCTGATTTTTATGAAAATTGTTGAACTAAAAGTTGTTTGCGATATCGATCTCCATAATTTTTGTTTATACATGATTTTTCTAAAATGGACCGTAATAGAAAGATTGTAGGAAAATTGCTAAATTTAAATTTTTCATTATTTTCGTTTTCAATGAATAACTATAGAAAAATGTTTCGAGGTAGATGTATGTGGAAAATGTATATATTTAGTTTATCCTCTAAACATTTATAGAGGTACTGCAATAAGTTGTACAAAATAACCAGAAAAAGCCCATAATAACTAGATAGGAAAGTCATGTGTTGTACACATCAGATTTTTTGACTATAAAATTTGGAAAACCAATATTTTCTGTATAAGAAAGCTACATTTGTTGCATCTCGCTAGGACGCGACATTTTCAAGAGAAAAGCATGTTACCTTATTCGAAAGTGTAAACAATAATTAGTAGGTTTGTAGAATTAGAAATTTAATTTTTTTTTTAACTGTGAAAAACCGGTAACTAAAGAAAATTTAGAAAATATATATTTACAAAAATGTTTCATATGGATTTCACTTGTAACACCCTGTATCTCGAAAACGAAACGTTTTCGGACCTATGTTTATATAAACTTTTACTCCTATTTTTAACCGACTTCATGAAAGGAGGAGGGAGGTTCTCAATTCGTCGCAATATTTTTTTTTATTTTTTTAAATTTTTTTTTATGTATGTTCAGCGATAATTCTTTAACACGGTGTCCGATTTCATTGACTCTTTTTTTGTTAGAATGAAGGTACTTCAGGAGTGGTTCCATATAAATTTGTTTAAAATCTAATAATTGAGCCCATGAGAAAATCCTCAAACTCTTCATTTTTTATGTATGTTTAGCGATAATGCTTTACCACCTTGTCCGATTTATATGATTCTTTTTTTGGTAGTAAGGGGGTACCTCAGGGGTGATCCTATATAAATTTGGTTAAGATGTGGTGACGGCATCTGCACGTTTTTGAATTCGGTTTTTTTTTTATTTTTAATTTCTAATATTTGAAGGATGTAGATTACGCTGTTAAAATATGACCGTCTAATTTCGGGACACCCTGTATATTGGAAATTCGAAATAATAGTTATGACGTAGCGGTGTTTTTCTAATTGTAATCGGACCCTAGGTATATGGATACGGAAAGTGATGAATTGGAGATAGGTAAATTGTATTTATTGTATTAAAGGAACAACAAATATAAGTACAATTAAATAAGTATATTAACAATTTTTTAAAGTCTGTATTAAAAAAAAATTTTTTTCACATAGAAGATTAAATTAAAAAAATAACTATTAAAACACGAAATGTTAATTTTTTCTCTTTTACAACACAAAATATACAATACTGTTGAATCAAAATTTTCTCTTGGCAGCAGGTGGTTTTTGTGACGCGACAATTATGATGCTTTGCATCTTATGAATTAAAGCTAATTCTCTTTCAATCTTAAGGTGATCATACCACTTATAATTTTCGGACAAGAATATCTCAAAATATTTAAATTTTGGCAAAATAAATTAGGCAATAATACCTATCTATAATATGCATATATTTTAATGTTTTAATTCCTTTCAGTTTCCCAAAAAAACTAAAAGGGCTTTAATTTTGAAATATCATAATGAAAATAAATGCATTCCTCGACAGCACTATTATTAATATAATCCCCAAATTTAAGCTCGTAATGTCTTGTTAATGATTTCTTAAAATTCGCCAAAATTAGTGGCCAAAATGCTTCGTTAAGTGCTATCTTCTGATGTAAACTGGTGTAAATTATTACAAGAAACGAATAATGACAGAGTGTACGATACGATAGTTACAAGCGCGTTACACCAGAAGGCAGCACATAACGAGGCGTTTTAGCCACTAATTTTGGCGAATTTTAAAAAAATCATTACCAAGACATTAAGAGTTTAAATTTCGGGATTATATTAAGAATAGTGCTGTTGAAGAATGCATTTATTTTCATTATCATATTTGATTTTTTTTCCCGGAAACTGACAGGAATTAAAACTTTAAAATATATATAGTTAATATTTCCTAATTTATTTCGCCAAAATTTTAATTTTTAAACAAAATTACTTTTTGAAATATCCTGGTCCGAAAATTATAAATGCTGCTGCATTCACTTTAATATACCAACATACAGGGGGTTTCAAAATGCATGGGACAAATTTCAGGAGGTGATTGCTCGTATGAAATTAAGATGGGTGTTTCCTATAACAAAATTTCCTCAGCCCACCCCTTTCCGAGATATCATCCTTAAGAGGTGGTGACTAAAATTTAGTTTCTATTATTTTTCTAAAATTTCAGTAAAGCTAGAAACTTGAAATTCTGTAATTTTCGTGCACTCGCAAAGGATTAACCACGGTTATTTTTTCAATATTCCTGTTACATTATAGGGGGGTGAAATTAGCAACCCTTACTTTATTTATATCAAAACTTATTTTCGAGATGAAGTTTTATGAAATAATTTTGTAACTTGAAATACTTGTTTTATTTAAAAAAAAATTCCCAAAATCAATACCTTCATAAAAAAAAAACTGTTTTCCACTCAATTTATTAAAAAAAAAAAAAAATGATAAATTAGGGTGTTAATTTTTTTTCTCTGAAGCTATTGGTTTTGGGAAAAAATTCAAAAATAAAAAAAAATTAAATTAAACAAGGATTTCATAAAAGTTCATCTCGAAAAAAAGTTTTGATATGAAATAAAGTAAGTGTTGCTAATTTCACCCCCCTTGAATGTAACAGAAATATTGAAAAAATACCCGTGGTTAGTCCTTTGCGATTACAAAATTTCAAGTTTCTAGCTTTACTGAAATTTAAAAAAAAAAAAATAAAAACTCAATTTTAGTCACCACCTTTTAAGGGTGATATCTCGAAAAGGGGTGGGCTAAGGAAATTTTGTTATAGAAAAGACCCATCTTAATTTCATACGAGCAATCAGTTCCTGAACTTTGTCGCATGTATTTAGAAACACCCTGTACATTACACATTTTTTTAAGCGGGCAAAATTCTTGACAATCTCTTTTCCCTAATTGGCACATGTCGTATTTTTCTAGGATTTACTAACTCTGGCAGCAAACAAATAAAATAGAAATTTGTCAGCTGTGCATTTTTGCCTTTCCGAATTTTTCATTTCATAAATTAACTAAAAACTAAATTAAACAAAAACCTAACAACGCCTCAACAACAAAC